GTCCGCGCTCCGTCTCCTCTCTCCCGTCCGCGCTCCTTCCCCTCTCTCCCGGCCGCGCTCCTCCTCTCTCCGCAGCGCTCCCGCGCCGCCCGCCGTCCGCCCGGGTCAGGGCCGGGCCCCTCAGGACCGCTGCGCATGCGCGGTGCGCGGGCCGTTTCCATGGTAGCGGAGCCAACAGGGAGGTGCCGCCATGAGCCCGCCCGAGGTGGAGCCGCTCGTGTGCCACAAATATGAGATCAAGAGGCGCTTGGGCAAGGGGGTGAGTGTCTGGCGGCGGCAGCGGCCTGTGGGAGCTGGGGTGGTCGTGGGAGCTGGGAGGGCTCATCAGAGCTCGGGGGCCGGGGCCGGCCGTGTGGAGTTAAGGGAGCTCCAAGCGGCCCGGAGGAACTGAAGGGGGCCTTTGGGACTTCAGGCGCCCGTGGGAGCTCTGTCTGTAGCTAAGAGTCCCGTGGGAGATGCAGGTGACCCAGGGAAACTCCGGCGGGCTGTAAGAAGTTAAGAGTAAATAGTAAAATGGATCTGAGTTTCAAAGTACGTTCTCTCTGTGCCTGCCAAATTCTACATTTACTGTAGCCCCATCACTTCAGATCATCTTGAATCCAGTCTTGCCTTCTCCATGAAACTTTTATACATGAGCCAATGGTAATTTTTAATACATCTCCTCAGACAGTCTCTAAACCCTCCCCAGTTTCTGCTTTTCACTTCTGGAAACTCTTACTGTTTATTTGATACAAGTATTTAGGTATTTCTCTCGTTATCTTCATAGAGTTAAGGAATCACAGAAGGTAGAGAAGCCCTCTGAGCCTGTCGAGTCCAACCAGTCCCGCAGCACTGCCAAGGCCACCACTAACCCAAGTGTCACATCCACATGGCTGTTAAATCCTCCCAAGGATRGCTACTCCACCCCCTGCCCTGAGACAATCTGTGCCAGGACTATACAGCCCTTTGTAGGAAGTTTTTTTCCAATATTCAGCCCCAACCTCCCGTGGCACAACTTGAGGCTGTTTTCCAATTGCTAACAGGGTAGCACTGTAGCACTTATCTGAGGTACTTTTACAACTGCCATGGCAAAGATCCTGAATCCATGCTCCAGGACTACACATGTTACTGGGAAGTTTGCCTTGGTGTCGTTATTTGAGTATTTAATCATTTGAATCATACACTCAACTCTTCTGCTTTGTACAAGTACTGAAACATTAAATGGGCATTTCTGAGAGGGACATGATCCTGCTGTGCAAAGGTAAAGCAGCTCCTAGACTGCAGAAAGTCAAGATTCAAATCTGTGGCCTAAAATAAAGAAACCTGGATCTGTACCACAAGTGAGACTGAGCAATCATCATTTGCAACAGTCATCCAGTATAGGGAAAACTCAGGCAGAGGCTCCCGTTCCCTTCATAGACAGCACAGCTTTTAACTGAAGAAAAAAGAAGAGGTTTAGTGTTGGACCTGACAGTGGTGTGTTAGTGGTTTGAGGGTTGGTTAGCAGTCCTGGAGGGCTTTTCCAACCTCAGCAGTTCTATGATGCTGGGATGCTGTCACTACAGACCTTGGTTAAAGAGTCTCTCCATCCTTCTTACCAGCTCTATTACAGAATTGAAAAAGCACAGTAAGTTCTCCTTGGAGCCTTCTTTTCCCCAGACTGAACCTCCCCTAGTTGTCTCAGCCTGGCACCAGAGCAGGGAGCCTCCAGCCTTCRGAGCATCTCCATGGCTCTTCTCTGCACGTGTTCAAACTGGTCCATGAATTTCTTGTACTGAGTAGCTCCAGCCTGGATGCAGTGTTCCAGTTGGGARTCTCACCAAAGTCGAGAACAGGGGAAGAATTACTTCTCTTGACCTGCCAGCCACACCATGGCTGGTAAAAGCTAGGTGCCAATGGCCTCTTGCTATCTGGGCTTATGTTCAGCCACTGTCACCTGCACCCCCAGGTTCTTTTCTGTCTTTGTAGCCACTCTGTCCCAAGCCTGGTGTGTTTCTTGGGGTTATTTTGACCCAAGAGCGAGACATGGCAGTTGAACTTGTTGACCCTTGCACCATTGGCCTCAGCCCATTGATCCCATCCCATCAATGCAGCCTGTTCAGACCCCTGTGCAGAGGTTCCTGTCCTCTGGCAGATCCATGCTCCCACCCAGCCCRGTGCCCTCTGTGAACCGAGGTGGCCGAGGTGCCCTCGATACCATTGTCCATAGCATTGGTACAGACAGTAAAACACCACTGGCACCAGTGCTGAGCCTAAGGAATGCCACTGGTGCCTGAGCCCAGCTGCACATAGCCCCATTMCCCAGCASTCCCTGGGCCCAGCCATCAGCCAGCCAACAGTGCCCCTGTCCAGGCCAGGAGCAGCCAGGTTCTCCAGGAGAATGTTGTGTGTGGCAAATGGTGTCAAAGCTTCACTGGAGTCCAGGCCGACATATCCACAGTCTTTCCCTCAGCCTCTGAGAAGGAGGGAGATCAGATTGGTCAGGCAGGACCTGCACAACCCCAGGCTGGCTGGGCCTGATCCCCTGGTTTTCCTTCTTTCGGTGCATTCCGGGATATCATTGGCTGTCTGGGTTGCTAATGCATATTGTCTKCTCATTTCCAGTTTTTCGTCCATCAACACCCTCAAGTCTTTCTCCTCAGGGCTGCTCTCCATACACAAGAGTCATGGAACCACAGAATAGTTTGAGTGGGAAGGGAYCTTAAAGATAATCCAAATCAAACCCCCTGCCRTGGGCAGGGTCACCTTCCACTAGACCAKGTTGCTCCAAGCCCCATCCAGCCTGGCCTTGGACACTGCCAGGGATGGAGCAGCCTCTCTGGGCAACCTGTGCCAGGCCTCACCACCCTCACGGGAAGAATTTCTTCCAAAGATCCCATCTAACCCTGCCCTCTGGCTGTGGGAAGCCCTTCCCACTTGTCCCTCCAGGCCCTTGTCCAAAGTCACTCTTGAGCTCTCTTGGAGGCTCCATAGGCACTGAAAGGGGCTCTAAGTTCTCCCTAGAACCTTCCCTACTCCAGGATGAACAACCCCAACTCTCCCAGTCTCTCCTGAGCAGAGTTGTTTCTTGGCCTAATCTCTCTTCCACGTAGCTGGTGATCACCTCTGCTTCTCGTCCCTCGTTGAATCCATTCTGGTTCCACTGCAGGCCTGAGCTGCGTGCAGATATTAGTACACTGCTTACCTGTCCATGTTTCTACCCAGGCCTATGGCATCGTCTGGAAAGCAATTGACCGCAAGACAGGAGAAACAGTTGCTATTAAAAAGATTTTTGATGCTTTCAGGAACAGAACGGATGCTCAGGTGAGAAATTATTGTCCTGATGTGTTCTGAGATGTGGTGGAATTCCTTAAGTATTTTCAGGATTTTTGTCTCTGAAGGGTGGTAGTTATGCATGTAATGATAGAGTCTGCAGCTATATTGGCATAAAAACAAGCAATAAATGTCAAGCTTTGTGTATCGTGGAATGTACAAAAGTGGAGTGGATTTAACCCTGTCATTGAAGTGCATCTCTGTTCCGCCATTTTCTTGAGGTGATAATAAACTGTTTATTCTTTATTTCCAGAGAACATTCCGAGAGATTATGTTCCTGCAGGTAATGTTCATGTTCCCCCCTTCTCTGAWTATTTATTGTCTCTGACAATAAAAAAGTCTATTTTCTTCCCATTGTTTTCCAAAATGCAGTGATCACTGATTAGTGCTGATAGCTTTAATTTCTTTTCTGCACCATCTTGGCAAAGAGCCTTTCAGGATGAACCCAGCTGAATGAAACACTCTCCATTTGGGCTTGTTTTTACTCTTTCCTACTCTTTCACCATTTTTAGCAATGTGTTCTGCTGCAGCATCAACACATTGACTTGCATATTCTGTCACTTTTTGCTTCTTTTTGGATAGAAGCTGTTTCTCTAACATTTTAGCTGCTAAGATTGGAGTTGGGGCTGGGCTGGGAGAGAGATTTACACACTAAAATTGCTTTCCTCCATCATGCAGTAAGTAATTTAATCACTTAAAATAATCAAAGCAAAACAAAAAGGGAAGCTCTGCTAGGAATAGCTTAAGACTACTCTTGTTTTGATATAATTGATCTTATCCGTGACATTACAATTATCTGTCCACTCCTCCTCAGACTTACCATGTAGAAATATCAATATTTTGGAATAATGTGGTTGTAACTTGTGATTTTCCAAGGACAGAAGTGAGGCAAGGCTCATAGAAGAGGTGTTTCCTAAGACTGCCAAGTTTAAGTAGGAAAGAAATTAGGTTTTTTTTTATTTTTTAGTCATTCTTAAGCCTGAAATAGAAGCTGCAAACTTTAAGGCTAAATATATAAAGAATTCCTTAGAAGTGAATTACCTGTAAATTAGATCATCTCTGAAAGTGCAGCACTCCTGGAGTGAGTGCGTGGAAGAGGAACAGGGGAAAAAACATATTTCTCCTGAAGGAAAGAAGGAGTCACTTGGCAGCAGAGGGCAGAGAGAGGAAAGTTAATGTGCCGTTCGGGCTGTGAATTTTGGTAGACTTTAAGAATTTTAGTTTCCCTTCTGTAAAACCTCTTTCTTGAGGTTCAAGGCTGAAAGATCAGAAAGGAAAAGATGTGAAGAATACTCTTATTCAAACTGGATGTTTGTCTGAATTTGTTTGTGCATAATACTTGTTCAGTTTCTGTGTTTATCACAAGGTCATTTGATGGACTAAGTTTTTGTTTCATATTATGTATGTCAATTATTCTAWTTGAGAAGTTGCTGTAGAATCTGGGTGTGAATGATTCTCTGATGCTCTGGTCATTGCTTGCAGGTTTTGTGTTTGCTGTTCAGTGTAGTTGTAGATCTACARGTGCATTTTAGGCCAATTTTAGAATGTCATTTTGGCAAGTATGCTAGTGGCATCATTGTTCTTTAGTCAGAGATTAACAGAACTGGCCCTGACGAGATTTTTTTTCAAGGTAACATGGCTTTTGTAGTACAGATTGAATTTTTTTTCATGGCTTGCTGTTAACAATTCCAGGGCAAGGCAGTGTGAGACAGTGGAATTTTCCTTCTTAAATAGTACTCAAGTAACATTTTCAAGATGGATCTGCTTCTCTAGAACAATATCCCCTTTTGGGTAAAAACCTTCTTTCAATCATTTGGGTGGGTATTATGACTATTCTCCTCAGAATGAAAACAAGGTGTGTGATGGCCTGGCTGCGCATCACTGCTTTGTGAGTGTGTTTTCATAGGTTGCTGCAGTTGAATGTGTTGTTTTGTGAACTTTTCTAGATGTTACACATTATAAAATGTTGGTGTGTTATGAAGTGTTTACAGTGTCCCTGGCTGCTCAGAAGTGGGAAATAAAAGCTGTTAAAGCTGGGAATGAGCTTAATGATCCCATTAGGATTACAAAAATGTAAGGATGGACTCCACCTGCAGTGTGATACCTGTGTTCAGGTGTCTCTGTGCTCTGTGTGCTGTGTGATCTCCATGCAGTTAGTTCCTCAGTACAGCCTCAGCTGGACCTCAGATCTACATGTTCTGGTTGTTTGGGTTTTTAACCATGAATATGATCTGTTTTGACATGAACCACAATAATTCTTTGATTCAGTAAGAAATGTGAGGTGCATAAAGGAGACTGGATTTTATTATAAATGGTATAGAGGGAGTTTTAGAACTAATGTCTCAGTCAACAGAGATTATTTTTTTTTAATAATTAACTGGTTTCATACTATGGAACAAACTTAAATCCATTGTTTATGTTTATTTCAGAAGAAGCCTAACGGAGGAAACAGCATGTTAATGATTGTTCTAGAAATTAATACAAACTGAAATAGGATAATGTCCCTTTTTATGATTCACGAGCAAAACACATGATTTTGACAGCTGGGTCTCTCTCCTGTGCAGGAATTTGGAGAACATCCAAATATCATCAAACTGCTCGATGTTATCCAAGCTGAGAATGACAAGGACATCTACCTCATCTTCGAGTCCATGGGTGAGGCTCAGCATTGCAAAGCCACTCAAACCCAGCCTCTCTTAGGAGTTGTCCTTGTTATCACTTTGATTGCAATGTGGTGGTGATTTGCATGAATGTTCATGATATTTCTGATATTTATTGATGTAAATATATTACTGATGTAATGTATTACAGAGACAGATTTACATGCTGTAATTAAGAAGGGGAATTTGCTGAAAGACATCCACAAGTGTTACATTCTCTACCAACTCCTGAAGGCAACTAAATTCATCCACTCAGGGAATGTTATTCACAGGGATCAGAAGGTACATTTCAGTCATTCACTCCAGTTTTCTGTTGAACACTGAATGAAATCACAGACTGATTTGGGATAGAAGGAACATTCAAAGCTCATCCATTTCCACCCACTGCCATGGACAGGGGCACCTTTCATTAGATCAGGTTGCTCCAAGCCCGATCCAACCTGGCCTTCAAGACTTCCAGGATGGCGCAGCCTCTTTGGGCAACCTGTGCCAGGGCCTCACCAACCTCACAGGGAATAATTTCTTCCCAAGATCCCAACTAAACTCACCCTCTGGCAGTGGGAAGTCCTTCCCCCTTGTGCTGTCACTCCAGACCCTTGTCCAAAGCTCCTCTCGAGCTCTCTTGGCAGGCCTTTAGGCACTGGAAGGGGCTCTAAGGTCTTCCTTTTCCTTTAGGCACTGGAAGGGGCTCTAAGGTCTTCCTTTTCCTTTAGGCACTGGAAGGG